TCTCTAGTTCCTAATTTTCTGCATCTCAGTTTTCTCATCTGTCACATTATGGTCTTTCCTCCAAGCGATGCTGTGAGGATTAGAGAATTGCTATCTGAAAACCGGTTGGATGCATTTGTGGCCAAGAGTGAGCATCAGATAAACATTAATTATCCTGTCCTGATTATGAAATGAAGGGTCTCCTTCAAAATGAGACGATAGCCTGGCACAGTGACGGACTTCTGTAATTCCAGCAACTTGGGAGACTGAAAGAAATGTCGGATATTCAAAGACAGACTCAGTTACTTAGCAAGGCCCTAAGCAAATTAGTGAGACTGTGTCTCAAAATAAAATAAAAAATAAAAAAGGGTTGAAGATGTAGCTCAGTGGTAAGTGCCCCTGGGTTCAATCCCTAGTACCAAAAACAAATGATAAATAATAAATAAATAAATAAGGATTATAACAATGGCTCTGAAGACACTTGCAGTGGCCACACGAGCCGAGAAGGAAAGGCAGGCAGAGCCTCTGCAGGCCCGGGTGTCTGTCCTCTCCTACTGCCCCCACATACCTTTGCTCTCTGCGGCAGGTTTATCATAGTGTCTGGCTTGAAGTCGTTCTTGTTCTTCCTACAGAGCACAGCAGTGATGATGATGATGATGACCGTGACCACGGCGATGGGCGCCAGCACTGCCGCAATGATCCACAGGTTGTTAGGGGGGTTCTTCACCACAGCTGTGGAGAAAGCCATCGGGAAGCAGGTGACAAGGAGCACTGAGGAGGGAACCCAGACAGGAATCCTCCCAGCCCCAAGTCAGGAGATGGGAGGAAGCCGCGATTAAGAGGGTTCAAGGTCAGAACGCCTCTGCTTCTGCAGCTGCAGCTGAGTGACCTTAGTCAAGGGACTCAAGTCTTCTGAGTCTCAGTTTCCTCATCTGTAAAATAGGTTAGGGTAATGTTTTCTTGTGCTCCTTAGTAGGTGCTCAATAAATTCTAGCTTCTACTATTATTTAAAAAGAGGAGAAAATAAAACATGATCAGTATTGATTTTCCTCAGTGGTCATGTCCAAGGGTCAAAAAGGGGAAAAGAAAAAGAAATCTGAGAATTAGAAGTGTGTGTTGGAGACAAAAGGCAAAAGCCACCAAGAGGGGCTGGAGTTGTGGCTCAGTGGTTGAGAGCTTGCCTAGCACGTGTGAGGCACTGGGTTTGATCCTCAGCACCATATAAAAATAAATAAATTTTTAAAAATAAAGGTATTGTGTCCATCTACAACTAAAAATATTTTTTTAAAAAAAAGCCACCAAGAGATGACTCTAAATATTGAAGGGAAGTCACTCCATGAATGAGCAATGAATAAAATATAACATGAGATTCCTCCCCTGGAAAACTCAGGAATGGCTCAGTCAATGGAGAGGGTCAGCCTGTCCTCAGAACTAGAGCAAGGAAAAAGTAAGCAGAGTGCTTGTCTGCAGGGACAAAGTGCTGAGGGCAGCAGGTGTCTTTATGGGGCTGGGCGGGAATGAATGGACCCGGGAAGGGCTACAGGGTGATGGTTTTCTGTAACATGAGGGCTATTTGGGTGACACAGCTGTGTTTGTCCAAAATCATCAAGTAATGCACTTGAAGATACATACATTTCACTGTATGTAAATTTTTCCTTAAAGCAAGTCACAAATGAATGTTGATCTCTAATCAATGATAGGCATGCTGAAGTGGACAGAAGTCCCTCATGTTTGGAACTCACATTTAAATGCATCCTCCAAATACATAGATGGATGGATGGAGGAACAGTTAAACCTATCTATGATAAAAATATAGTAAAATTCTAATTGTGGATTCCAAG